CTTTTTTGCATTGCTTTGCCTTTCCACCACAGAGATTGTACCACATGGGTTGCACCACATAGACTGCACCGCATACGTTGCAAGACATTCCTGTTTGCGGTCCACGTTGGCTAACCTTTCATATGCAAGTACAAACGCACATGCAATAGCGATCGCAACAGCAATGGAGATCCTTCCTCCCCCCTCCCCTTCGAAGGGACACACAGGAGGGGGGGCGGGATGAGGAGATGCCCAAGAGAAGAGGGAAGGCCGAGAAGCGAGAGCAACAGGGGATTAGGAACATAGGCGTTATGTTCTTCCTCCTCCTCCTCCTCCTCCTCCTCCTCTCCCCCTGCTCACCTCAACCCACGTCTCCCCCTCACCGAAATGCAAGCCACCTTTGGGCCATCTTGAGCACTGCTCGGGCATTTTTTGTGCACGTTAGAAACTGCAGGGGCCTCTGTGATCCCCTCCCCTCTCCCTCTCACCCTCGCTTAAGACCTCCGCCCGTGTTCCTCTGGCCCCTCCTTTCGCGCAAGCGGTGGTGAGACGATCAAATATCTTCGGCGCAACTGTTTCTGCTCGGGATGCGATTCGTGCACTCTGCCTAGGAGGATACGGATAATTATACAGATGCCACCAACAATGCTACTCGTTTTAAGGGCAATGCAGAAGACTAGTACTACCTATACTTATAGCAAGAATGCTACTAAGAAGACGAATGATGAAGGAGGACGATCGACTATGCCCTAGGGTAAGGAGGGGACATGATGATGAGTGGAATGAGGGATGGGAGAAGGGATGAGGAGGGGAGTCGGAGGAAGGCGGGGAGAGAGGAGGAGGAGGCGGAGGGTGAGGAGGATTGAGGTGCTTGTTGTTTCGCATAATTACTTGCTGGAAGGAAGCGTGCCCCAACGACTCCTGAGATATTTAGTGCAGTGGGAGGGAGACAATGGGGGGAAGGAGTGGAAAAGACGGGGAAGGAGGCCTCACTCTCTTGGTTCTCCCCCTCGGTGACATGCTAGGGCCGATACCCTCCTCCACCGTCCTCCATCGAGATGTATATGGCGGCCTGTGGAGCGCGCAAGGAAGGGTTGTCACGAGAAGACGGGCGAGGGAGGAGGAGCAGGAGGAGGAGGAGGAGGAGGAGGAGGCGGAGGAGGAGGAGGAGGAGGAGGAGGAGGAGGAGGGGGAGGAGGAGGAGGAACACGAGGAGGAGGAGGAGAAACGAGGAGGAGGAGGAGGAGGAACGAGGAAGCAAGGTGGAGGGAGGATGCAGGAGGGAAGCAAGAGAAGGATAAGGGAAGATGGAGGAGGAGGAGGAGGAGATGGAGAAGGAGGGCGACGACGGTGAGGAGGAGTGTCTGTGCCTCCCCTGGAGACTATCCTGTTGGACTGCGGCTCCAGGTGGGGAGCGGGCGGCCAGGAGGGCGTGCTGGGTGGTTCCTTCGACGGCAAGGCTGCCGTCGGCGAGGAGGCGGAGTAGATCGCAAAGACCTGGTCTCCAGCTAGGACATCTTGGACAGGCAGGGCGAGCCTGGTGTGGGCTGGCACGGCTCCTGATCCAAGGCGAAACTCTTAGACGAGCAAAACGCAACCTCATCGCCTGGCAACCTCCAGTGCGGACCAACCCGGCTAAATGCCCGAAGCGAAGGCACCCTGGACACGGAACGCGTCCCCTGCCTGGCGGGCGTTCTGGCCCGCCGGATTTCCGAGCCCACAGAGGAGTCCGTGCCGGCTCGTGAGAGCGCAAGCGGCGGCGACCCCGCAGGAGCGCGCGAACACCACGGTGGTCAGCGCAGACTCGGGCCTGGCCGCGGCGCAGACTTGGGCCAAGGAGTTCCTCGGCAACATCTGGGGAGTGTGGACACAGACCTCCGACGCTGTTTTTTTTGTTTGACAAAATGGTCCCTAGGGGTCTGGACCTCCTCCCGGGGATCAGCTCTTCATCCTGATCCACTTTTTGGCGGTCCCTGGGCCTGGCGATAGCTAAAGGAGGCCGAAAACAACCAAAAACCTTCCGTCGTGATTTCGTCACGGCACGAAGGGGTCGATTTTCGGGCCGTCGGGGTCGGCGGGCGTCTCGACCGCAAAGACAGCTCCGCCTCTTCCTCCTCCTCGTCCTCGTCGTCCTCCTCCTCCTCCTCCTCCATTCGTTTTCCTGATAGACACCTCTTCCCTGCCCCGAAGCTGGTCGTAAGGGCGGGCCGGGCGTTTCGCCTGAGACTTCCTCACCATTCATGGCCCTGATGTTTTAAACATTGGCAACAGATGCACAGATGGAGTGCGGGCTGCTTCCAACACGTGGCTCTCGCCTTAGCGCCGCGCGCATTCGTTTAACAAATACGCAAGAGTTTCACGGATTGAGGGCGGGCCTTTGTCAACATGTGGCTCTCGCCTGAGCGCCTCGCGCATTCGGTTTCAGAAATTGCAACAGCTTTGCGGATTGAGGGCAGTTCGTTTTCAAAATGTGGCAATCCCCTGAGCGCCGCGCACATTCTTTTTCAAACGTAGCAACAAT